CCAAAATATGTAAGTAATAGATAAAAAATACAGAGATACAATTTATATTGCATACGTCAAATAGAAAATTGCACTTTTTAATAACAGCGCCCTATTTTTAAGATTGATTTATTGGTAGGTTTAAAATCATGTGACAGTATCCTCAAATATTAGTGAAGCAGGTGTTTAATATGAATGAATGAATCTGGATTCAAGCAGTGAAAACCTCTTTAAATTTATTAAATTTAATATAGATGATATTTCATTAAAAAAAAAAAAAATTATCCATTAACAGTAAAAGGATTACACCCACAACTGATAGCTCTCAAAGGAAATGAAAACAAAGACCCACATACTAATCCAAATACTAAAAAGAACGATAACAAAGTTCCTGCCAGATCCTTTACAACGCCAAACACCTGAGGACCTGCCATCATACACGTTGATACAAGATATCCATTTGTTATTCCAAACAACATTAACACAAACAAATAAACCCAATCGTTATTTATCAATAATGGAACTATTCTTTTTCCATGTATTCCAACATCTACATTGCTAAAAAGAAACAACGGAATAAATATTATTCGAGCTAAGGAAAATATGGATAGATAGTATTGTGACGTGACTATTAGAGATTTGAAAGTTGGCAAATTCCTACCAATCCAGTCACAAATATTATAAATCAAAAAATGTAATGGTATGAATATGTAATCTTCTTGAAATAGGGATCTGTTTTTTTCAGAAATTGTGGTTTTTATATATGCAGTGATTGATGGATATAGTGCCAAGGTCACAATAAAGTTAAAACATATAGAAAAGCATAATAATCGAATTCTATGAAAAGTGGTTTGAAGTGAATGATTGCTTAATGTTTGATCAATTGGGTGAATTATAGGTGTTTCGTGTGGTGGAAAGTGATGGATATATAATGGTAAGCGAGTTAGAATAAAGTGCAATTTTCTATTTGACGTATGCAATATAAATTGTATCTCTGTATTTTTTATCTATTACTTACATATTTTGG